GAGTTTGTTGAATCTGACGTGACATGTTCGTACGAACCATTTGTACGAACAAAAGTAAGAAAAATTTGGGATAAGAATACGAACATGTTTTTGCATGAGGCCCAATGTTCTCTTTGAAACTGGCATTAGCATCCTTRCTCTATTTTTGTCACCTTTTTGGTTTCTAGATGCCGCTCTGTTACCTTTAGCTAACCTTTTTAGCTTCAAGCTAGTATTCTGTTAGCTTTTAGTGACTGCTCTGCTACTTTTAGCTTTTAGCTGGTCTTTTTTGAACTTTTAGTTTGAGTTAGCTTAACTTTTAGCCTTTGACTAACCTTTTGCCACTTTTTGCTGTATTATCTTTTAGCTTGATCTGCTTCTGTTAGCTTTAACTACTCAGTTTTGACTTTTTATAGGAAATTTAATCATAGTTAATCAGCTTTATATCATGTTAACAAAAATGAAATATATATATATTTACAGTAAGTGAGATCTGTTGGAAGATTTTTCTCACAAAAAAACAGCAAACTTTAAATTAATTCAAAGCGTCTGAAGTCAAGATGAAATTCAGAACGGCCGATTCTTTAGAATTTTAATGGAGTTTTAATTTATTGTGAGAAAAATCCTCTCAGATTAACTTTAATCTGGTGAAGTCTGTGAAAGTGGAGCTACAACAGCCCTCCTGCTGTGATCTCGTCCTCCTCTTCACCTCKGTCACCTCGTTTCTTCACTTCCACGGCTGAAGGCAGCTTCCGACAAAAATAAAATAAAATAAAACACAGAGGAGATGAAACTTTTATGAAACGACAGCGACTTTGTCACGAGAAGATTTTCCTGGAATCTCCACCTCCTCAGCTCCGTCACAGAGGACCAGGATTTAACTCATCAAACGAAAAGAAAAACAAAAAAGGATTTAAAGCTTTAAAGAGTTGAAGGTTTGCAAAATTCACAGTTTTGCACTGATGATGGTTCACTGTTGAAGCCAGAGGGATTATTAATTTTACTGGTCAGCTGAAATCTTGACGTCGTCGAGACGTTTTAATAGGATGGAGCAAGAATCAGCAGCACAAAGTAGAAACAGGTTTTCTCAGAAAGGGAGCAGGCACAACAAAACTAAAGGTTTTCAAGGTTAAACCGAGGTGGCAGAGAATACAGAACAATTCTCCTGATGAATTCAAAGAGACAGAGTTTCATTAAACTAATCAGAGACTCTGTATTTTCCTTCAGATCACATCKATCTCTGCAGAAATAAGAAGAAAAGAGATTATCGTCCACGGCGACGAAGAGGTCATTTCAAAATATCGCCACATATGACCGAACGTCATAAAACGATTCAGTAGTTTCCACGTTTCAAGTTATTTTCTGCACATTTTCATGACGACTTTGCAGTTTTAATCCTTCTTGCATTGATTTTTGTTGTTTTTGCACATTTTTTTCATTTATTGCTATCATTTTAGTTTGTTGCCAAAATAAATAAAAAACTAAATGACTTTATAAATAGCATATTTACGAGTTATAAAGTGGTATTCTGCGTGATAAAATCCAGCAAATTAACCGTTTTGCTAGTGTCAGTATTTTTTTCCCAAAAATATTAAGTAAATAAATAAAACTAAATAACCAAAACAAACTTAGCTGAGGGTTAAATTCAAAGGTTTTATTCAAAACTGATTGTTTTCAGTMAAGTCAGTTACACAACAAAACTGTCTCAGCTGCAGGTTCGTGAGCAGGCTTGTGATATTTTAATGTTTTCTGCTGCTCTTTCCAAAACGACGACAAAAGCAAACCTTAAACTTTCTCATTTTATTTCATTTCCTCAGCTACAAAGCTAGAAGTCCAAACATAATGAGAAGCAATACTTAAAAAAAAGGAGCTTGGGGGGCCAGATATAATTGAAACAAGGCCCAGATTTGGCCCACATGCCCTGAGTTTGACACGTAGATTATGAAGAACTCTGGTAAACAGTAAGAATGGAAAGATTACAGTTAGGTTAATTAATAACTATTAAATGAGTACCATTCATTCATTCATCCATGTTTACTGARAGTGATCCAGTGCTGAATGGGTTTTATTTGGTCCAATATTTACATTTTAAATCCTGTTTTTTTGTTTTTGTGGGTGTTGAGTATCTATTCAGGATGGACTAATTACAGTCCAACAGGACGCAAAGGTCACATCTGCCCTCAGGGAGACAAATGAAGCGTCAGTTCACATCTGTCTCTAAAATAAAACCCTCATCAAAACAGAGCAAACAATGATAAAGTGATAGAATAAAAACTTATGTTTGTGCAGATTTAAAAAAAAAAAAAACTAAGCCTGGAGGTTCTTCCCTCCTCCCCTCATTTGTCTCCACATCTGGTTCTACTCACTGACTTTCAGGTCGCAGCATTCCGCCGCACAAAAAAACAAAAAAAMCCCACAAAAGATTCAGTTTCTAAACGCAACACCCCGATAAAACAAAGGCGCGCGTGAGGCGTTCAATGACCTCCCGATTTTTCCACACTCCTGCGGGGATAACACCGAGCAGAAGTGATGTTTTCTTTAGTTTTTTGTTATTTTTCTCCTCACCCGTTTCGCTCCTCTTCAGTTCCAGACTAAAGATGAATAAATATAAAGTGCATTTGGAGAATAAAAGCAGCCGGTTCGTCCATGATGCCGCTCCTGGACCCTGGGTTCGGTGTCGCTCGTTGCTCTGCATGCTCGKACGCGCGGAGCAAAAACAACTTAAAAAGAAAAAAAGAAAGAGAGAGAAAAAAAGAGAGGAAGGACGAAGCAACCGAAGCAGCGACGGGCCGATGGTTTTCACTTTTTTTAGGAGGAAGAAGAGGACGAAGAAGAGCTGCTGCCCAGTCCGGCCGCTAGAGCTCCGACTGAGGCAGCTCCGGCTGGAATGAATGGAGCAGCGCCAACAAGCTGCCTGTTAGCAAAATATCTCACCAACAACTGGACGGATCTTAATGAAACTTCCAGGTAATAAYMACTGGATGYATATTTACAAATGATAACACTTTGGAGTCAAAGCAATCAAAATTAACTGCTTAATGCAGTAAATATTAAAAAACACAAATATGCCTATAAGTCAGTCAATCATGTAAAAATGAATTAAACATTTTAGTGTGGTAATAGCTGAGAGTGATCACTAGCAAATACTGTCAGGTCTTTGTTTAAATTCTCAGAAACTTTGCATTTAAGTCAAGTCTATTTCAGTGGTTCCCAAAGTTGGGGTCGGGACCCAAAGTGGGGTCCTGAAACATCAADGTGGGGTCCTGAAAAGATTTTTTAAATTACTTACATTTTTGCCTTAGTTGTTACCTAAAATGTATAAATGTAGAATAATAAATATAGTTACTGTGCCCATGTTTAGTTGACCTGATTCAAATGTTTATCATCCAAACATAATTGTGGCCACAGGTCTCTACTGTTATTTTGTGGGTCAAAAGCTGAAAAGTTTGGGAACCACTGCTTCAGAAATCAATTTAAAGGGTAATAAAATAATTGGTGATGTAATATTTCCTTATAATTGTTACAAAAACACAAAATACGTATAAATAAGTATATTTGTGTAACCCTTGTTTTGAGGGTTATTAACAAAGTTTGTGTACTCAGACCAGTRATATTTGGGGTCACAAGTTTTTGTCATGAATATTTTGTGGGTCAGAAGATAAAAAGTTTGGGAACCACTGAATATGGCCTCCACAGCTGATCATCATTAACACAAACATGGCTCAGTGTTACAGAYATCGAGCTAAAATGTGATGTGGTAGTAGCCGTGAGTTGTTCACGACACACACTCTAAGCTTGACATCTTGTGATAACTTTGCGCATTTTGTTTTAAAAGTTAAAGTTTGCAGCTTTTCATAATTGTTCTGTTATCATATATGACCTACATATCACTTATTTCATGGTGCTGGTTCACTTCTTTTAGCTATTACCAAGTTTTAGCTACTTTTTTTCTTTACAATTCAGCTTCGTCAAACTGCAGTTTCTCATGAACACTATCATTTCTGATTTATAGTGCAAAGAAACAATCACATTATTTTTTCCTGCTGAAATGTAAAGTGAATAAATCTCACAGACGCCCAGAACAACAAACACATTTTAACCAATAGTATTTAATGATTTAATGCAACATTTTGCTAAAGCCCAGTCCCCCTCACAACAGTACTTTTAGGTAAAACCAGTCCCTTGCATTTTATTGGCCAAAAATCAATTCAAACATACCTAAATAAATATGTGTTCATGAAAACAGGAGGGCGAGGTCGAACAAAACAATTCTAATTAAAAAGGCAACTTGAAAACAAGTTTTCTCTGTGAACTCTTGTTTAAAAACTGAACATATTTCTTTTCTCTAAAAAATAATAAAAATTAAGTAAAACGTGGGGGGGTCGATCCTCAGCAGCTTCCACTCTCTATGACAGCAGCACGACTCTAAAAACCATTGGTTATAAAAACTGAGGTGAACACTGCCACCAGCTGGAAGGTAAAAGCTTTGGTCACAGGAGTTTTGAGAGGACGTGTGGAGGGGAGGGAGCAGATGACCAGAAGTTCYCCCTCCTCATCACAAACTAAGCAGGTCTGCAATTTGAACGGGTTTTGGTAAAAAAATTAAAATAAACAGCGAGCTGGATGACACAGTGCCGTAGCCATTTAGGGTTTAAAAACAAAACATTAACGGCCCCAGCTGGCTTCCTCCTTTAACTTTGAGGAGAACAAACGAAACGTTTGAGCATGGGGGAGGTTCTGACTACTTTGGACCGGGACGGCTCATGCACGGGTCGGGTGTGAGAGAGCGTATGGGGGCTTCTGCAGTCCTGTTTCATCAGTCCGAGCCCAGGCGGTTCTACACTTCATTTTATTTTCTGATTTTTAACCAGAAAAGAAAATTCTGAAACACTAAACCCACTTTTTTTACCCCCCTTTTCCCACCCCCAGCACGGTGCCGAAACCCGGAGTCTTCCAGGGCTTTGACCCCCAGAACGATGCCACTTCTTTTGAGAAGGCGGGACAGGCGGGCCCGGGGTGGATGGACATCGGAGGGCTCCGTTCCCGACCCCCTCCGTGACTTCTCACCCACCCCTCGCTGCCGTCTGACCAGTTTCCCTGGAGCTCTTCGTGGCGAGGTGGGATGACGTCAGGACGGAGGGGGCTGCGTAGCGTCGACCCCCCCCGCCCCCCATCGAATGATTGGGTCATTTGAAAAGGAGCTGAGCTCAGTTTGAAGCGCTGTTGTTGCAGGAGCTGGACGTCGAGGCCACGGCCATGCCCGCCGTGCCCGAGGAAGCCACCGACTTGCGGATGTGGGGCATCAGGAAGGGGTCGCTGGCCAGCTGGTGGACGTCAATGCGGTCCTCTTTACGGTAGACTAGACAGCGCCTTATAAAGGCCTGGAGGGTTACAGAAATAAAATAATTAGATTTCAGCTATTTCCATACTCGTCCACCAGTTATAAAACCACAAAGAGAAGCGTGGTACCTTAGCTTCAGGTGTGACTACAGGTTTAGGGGGAAACTGGACTTCTGTGGCCTTCAGAATTGTGTTCTCCTGCAGGATGTCCTGCTGGGACTGGTTGTGGCCAAAAGGCTAAAGAAGGACAAGAGAAGAGGTTTACTCAAACATCTCCCTACAACCACAACAAACAACTCAATTCAGATGAAGGAAATAAAAATGTAATGATACTAGACATGGGTTTTTACGATGTAAAAACAAGTGTGCATTGCCATGTAGCATGTCATTGCCTTCAGCAATGGACTTGCAGAATGAAGTGTGACCAAGTTCAAATGTGTTTTCTATACCAGCTTGTGCCTGTCACATCAGCAGGTGTTTGTAATGAGGGTAATTGTGTGACAATATGAAGTTTGTAGAGATTTTCTGCTAAAGTTGCTGCTGCTGGGTTTTGAACCTTGATCTCCCACATGAAAGCCCATGGCACTAACCATTAGACCATTGGTGCCRGGGCAGAGAACCCTGCCAGGGGCTGGTTTGTGTATGTGCAGAAAGAGGCCACATTGCCAATGTAATGGTTGTCACTAATATGAAATATATTACAACAATAAAGCAATATTAGGACAATATTATAGTAAAACATCAAAATACAATCATTATTGTAAACACTGAACTATTGACTTGAAATATTATTAAACTATCGTGCAGTACCACGTTGAGTACAGCATGGGGCAGTATTGGACCAATACAAGGCTCAATTGACTGCCATTATAATTTTTAAACATTAATATTTCATAAACTATAACTTTTACAGGCACCGAAAGGCATAGCTATCATTTGGAACAGGAGCTTTACAGATATAAATTACAATGGCAGCTCTAGGAAAAAGTATGCAGGAGGAGTAGCGATATTGAAGATGAATTTGAGATGACTTGGATGGGAAACGAATCACACAATAGTGTGCATTGCATTGGCAGTGCACACAATGTTCTGTCAAAATGCTACAGAGTTATAGCGGCTTCTTATTTTGCTTAAAAACAGATTCTACACACTCCACATTAGACAACTTTAAAACAGGGTTGGGTGATATTGGCCTAAAAGTTAATCACGATTAATTGTGGCCTTTAGCTTAGAACGATTAATATGACGATTAATCCTCTGGAGTTCCTGTCACGACTGATTTAAATCACTCTATTGGGACAGATATATGTTTAAATTAGTATTAAAAGTACAAAGTTCAGCACTTTTTAAATTGTGTTCATGGGCCGATTAAAACAGGAGTTATAACGAATTATTTACTTTTTTTAAAATGTTATTATATTTGAAGCAGTGCAGCAAAAAACAAACAGTTTCATGGAAAAATCCACCTCAACCCAACCTCTGGTCTCACCCCCACCCCACTGAACAAACACAAAACCCCCAAACTTTCTTCTGACTGACATCTGAATGCATTTGACGAGCGCCCAACATCTACAGGAAGTAGAAAATAAAAAAGACGCAAAAGTTGAATGAAGTTTGGTGGTGATGGAGAGATGACGAGATCAGGACTGAGCAATGAGATTGGACAGATTTTATTTAGTGTGGTCAGATTATAAAGTTAGGATGTAGTTTAATGTGTTTAAGTCTCATTTAGACAGTTTTAGTGTCTTTGAGTGGAAACGATGAGGTGAAATCTGAATGTGGAGCAGTAATACAAAACTTTATTTATAAAGCACTTTAAAACAACACTGTAAGCAAAGTGCTGTACATTATGGCACATAAAAACAATAACCCAAATAAAATGAGCCAATAATATCATAAAAAAACAACAAGCAGCAGTCAAAACCTTTGCAAAGGGAGGAGTGAAGCTCAAATGCAGAAACTGAGGACGAGGAAGTAGGAGATCCATTATTTGAATTTGAAGAGGAGCACCGAGCGGATGGCGGTATTAATCCTAACAATCGCCAAATAATAACCGTTGAAAGTTTTCTGACGATCAGTTGCACACAATACAATTTTGCCCAACCCAACTTTAAAACCAAGAAAATGAAGTTCATTATTAATAAATTGATTGACACAGAAAGATCAACTATAAATGTCCAATTGTCCTGATGCATCTCAGTAATCCAGGTAAAAAATCAAAAAGAAAAAAAATTGTGTA